TTAAGAACATTCATTTTTATTTCCTTGTATTGTATATATCTTACGCATATATACCATGTATATAAATTATCTTCTGGTAATACCGACCTTTATTCCGGTAAAGTGAGCTGCTATCTGCTAGTCACTCCACAGATGCCCACAGTAGCCCCAGCTAAGGCAAAAGTCAGGAGCTAGAAACTGAATCCAGGTCTCCTACATAAGCAGTAGGAACCCAATTACTTGAGCCATCACTACTGCCTTCCGGGGTCTGAATTAGCAGGAAACTGGAGTCAGTAGCCACAGCTGGGTATATGAAATTAGGTACTCCAGTATTACATGCAGGTTTTATCTGCTAGGATAAATGCCATCCTGACCAATACTCAAGCTAACTAAACTGGAAGTATAGAATTTCTCATTAAGATATACTTAATTTGGGGCCTCCACCTATGGTGCTGGCATCACGTATAGATGCTGGTTCAAGTCCCAGCTGCTATCAATCCAGCTGGATTATACACCTGGGAAAGCAATGGAAGGCGGCCCAAGTGCTTGGGCCCCTGCACCCATGTGGGAGACCCCAGGGGAGTTCCTGGATCCTGACATTAGACCAGCCCAGTTCCAGCCATTGTAACTGTTTGGGGAGTGAACCAGAGGATGGAAGATCTGTCTCTTCCTCGCCTCCTCCCTCTTTAACACTGCCTTTCAAATAAATAAATAAATCTTTTTTTTTTTAAGATATACTTAACTGAAAATTATTACCTCTTATTTCAAGATTATATTCTTTCTACATTTTTGGTATTAAAATAGTTCATGCAATGATTAGTTTTTCAAAATGACTTTAAAGCAAAAATTTAAAAGCTGACACTTTTTAAGATTTTATTTATTTGAGAGGTAGAGTTACAGACAGAGGGAAAGCAGGCAGAGAGAAAGGTCTTCCTTCTACTGGTTCACTCCCCAAATGGCCACAACAGCCGGAACTGAGCTGATCAGGAGCTCTTCCAGGTCTCCCATGTAGGTGCAGAGGCCCAAGGACTTGGGCCATCATCCACTGCTTTCTCAGGCCATAGCAGAGAGCTGGATTGGAAGTGGAGCAGCTGGGACTTGAACCGGCGCCCATTTGGGATTCCAGTGCCACAGGCTGAGAAGTTACCTACTTTGCCACAACACCAGCCTCACTCATTTTGTCTTGTTTTGGGAACCTAGCCATCTCAGGCATCTTTCTGTAACTCCCATGTAATCATCTCAGTCTCTTCCTTAAAACTCTTTAGATGGACCCCTGTGGCCCATAGCAGTTTAATCCCACTGGGATTTAATTTATATGTGCATTAAGTATTTTCTGTAGACTGAATTAAACATTTTTTTTAAAGATTTATTTATTTGATAGAGTTACACAGAGAGGGAAGGAGAGGCAGAGAGAGAGGTCTTCCATCCACTGGTTCACTTCCCAGTTGGCCTCATCAGCTGGAGCTGCGCTGATCTGAAGCCAGGAGCCAAGAGTTCCTTCTGGGTCTCCCACGTGGGTGCAGGGACCCAAGGAGTTGGGCCATCTTCTACTGCTTTCCCAGGCTATAGCAGAGAGCTGGATGGGAAGTGGAGCAGCCAGGACTTGAACTGGCGCCCACGTGGGATGCCAGCACTGCAGGCCAGGGCTTTAACCCACTGTGCCATAATGCCGGCCCCTGAATTAAACATCTTTATTATGTTTTTTTCTAAATTTTTCAGTGATGTTCAGTTTTATTTAAAGTTTGACTTTCCAGTAACCTTTTGTATTTTAAAATATTTTTGTGTTTTTCGCATATACTTTCTGTAAGTGTGAAAGTCATTAGTTTTTTTAAAAGCTCATGAGTAAAGATAATTCTTTAAGAGAAAATATGGATTTGATAATATAAGAACCAAAATTTTGATATAGTAAGAAAACATAAGCCACACGAATAGAAGTATATGTAAAAAATAGGAAGGTACTTCAAAAAGTTCATGGAAAATAAGATTTATTTTCATTTAAATCATGTTTAAATTCCTACGTAGTTTTTCCATAATACTCACTTTTCCACAAACTTTTTGAAGACCTTGGTATATGAAACATACTAAAGGGAAATTCTTACAGCTTAGTAACACTATAGTTGTAAAATCAGCAAGGGGTATGAACAGCAGTTCATAAAGAAATATAATTTTGGGGGGGGCAACACTGTGCACAGTGGGTTAACGCCCTGGCCTGAAACACCAGCATCCCATATGTGCGCTGATATGAGACCCGGCTGTGCCGCTTCCAATCCAGCTCTCTGCTGTGGCCTGGGAAAGCAGTAGAAAATGGCCCAAGTCCTTGGGCCCCTGCACCTGCATGGGAGAACAGGAAGAAATTCCTGGCTCCTGGCTTCGGATCTGCGCAGCTCTGGCCATTGTGGCCAATTGGGGAGTGAACCATCGGATGGTAGACCTCTTTCTTTCTCTGCCTCTCCTTTGTCTGTGTAATTCTGACTTTCAAATAAGTCTCTTTTTTTTTTTTTGACAGAGTGGACAGTGAGAAAGAGAGACAGAGAGAAAGGTCTTCCTTTGCCGTTGGTTCATCCTCCAGTGGCTGCCGCGGCCGGCGCATTGCGCTGATCCGAAGCCAGTAGCCAGGTGCTTCTCCTGGTCTCCCATGGGGTGCAGGGCCCCAAGCACTTGGGCCATCCTCCACTGCACTCCCGGGCCATAGCAGAGAGCTGGCCTGGAAGAGGAGCAACTGGGACAGAATCCGGCGCCCCGACTGGGACTAGAACCCGGTGTGCCGGCGCTGCAAGGTGGAGGATTAGTCTAGTGAGCCGCAGTGCCGGCCTCAAATAAGTCTTAAAAAAAGAAATATAATTTGCTAATTAATGTGAAAAAGTTACTGCAAATAAGAGTTTCAATTTAAAACAACATGATACTTTTCCCCTAGCACTTAGCAGAATATTTTTTTAAGATTTTTATTTGAAAGGCGGAGTTACAGAGATGCAGAGGCAGAGAGAAAGACATCTTGCATCCACTGATTCACTCTCCAAATGGCTGCAATGACCAGAGCTGCACCAAATGAACCAAAGCCAGGAGTTTCTTCCAGGTCTGCTATGCAGGTGTAGTGGCCCAAGGATTTAGGTCATCTTCTACTGTTTTCCCAGGCCATAGCAGAGAGCTGGATTGGAAGTGGAGCAGTCAGGACTCAAACTGGTGCCCATATGTGATGCTAGCACTGTAGGCAGTAGCTTTTACCTGCTAGGCCACAGTGCTGGCCCCCCCTTGAAGGTGCAGGGGCCCAAGCACTTGGGCCATCTTCTGCTGCTTTCCCAGGCCATAGCAGAGAGCTGGATTGGAAGTAGAGCAGTGGGGACTCAACTGTAGTCCACAGGGGATGCCCCCACTGGCCCTCCCAAATCCTCTTTTAAAGTCCATTCAAATTACACCACCCTCTTCTTTTGCTATTCCACATAATTATTGTGTGTAATTATGTATTTATTATCTCTCTTCCACTAGGCAAAGAGCTCTTCTTTATTTATTAATAGATATTTGTTCAGTGCATATGTGCCTGGCTGGCACTACATTGGGTACTACAGATCCAACCATAAACTGGGCAGACAGGTTGCCCCTGCCTGCAAGGAGTTTGTAGCCTTGTCAAGTTATTCCTTCTACTACATTAAGTATTGTAAGTGTAGAGTGCTTTGGGAACTTAGAGAATTGGTAGATCTACCCCTGGCTAGGTAGAGAAAAGGCTTCCCCCAGAAGAAGACAGCCAAATATTAAGAAAGCAAGAGTTGGTCAGATCAAGGAGTGTGGGAAAAGTAGCTTTAGGTAGCAGAACCAGCCATATAGACTGGAATTTTATATCCATGACAAGTTTCAGGAAGATTATTATGGTATCTATGCATATTGAATTTGATTTCTGATGAGAACTGGATACAAATTTTCTCCTGGAGGAAGCTCCAGAATTCATTTCTTCTGCAAGAGATTAGGAAGTTATACCTATGGATAGTTTTCAAAAAGTTCATGGACAATGTATATTATGAAAAAACTATCCAGTGATTTCAGACTCTTTGGGCACCAAAACTTTTAATTCCATTTTCCATGAATTTTTTTCTTAAGATTGATTGAAAGTCAGAGTTACACACAGAGAGAGAAAGGTCTTCCATCTGATGGTTCACTCCCAATTGGCCACAATGGCCAGAGCTGCGGCAGTCCAAAGCCAGGAGCTTCTTCTGAGTCTCCCACATGGGTACAGGGGCCCAAGGAATTGGGCCATCTTCCACTGCCTTACCAGGCCATAGCAGAGAACTGGACTGGAAGTGGAGCAGCCAGGACTCGAACCAGTGCCCATATGGGATGCTGGTGCTTCAGGCCAGGGCGTTAACCACCTGTTCCACAGCGCCAGCCCCCTCCATGAATTTTTAAAAATACCCTCATAATAACACGTGCTAGAGAAAGCATCCTAAAGTATTTGAGTAAAATAAATTCTAAGGATTGATAAACTGTAAAATTGATAGAGTATTCTACTCTTGTAATCTTGACTGGGCCTAATAAAATGTTGTGAAGTGAGATTTGGGGACTGCCTTGTAATTGATTAGAAATCGCAATTTAAATAGCAGTTTTTGCCTATAAATATGTTCTAAAGATGTTACATGCAGTGAAGATATTTCTCCTGATTTTGAACTTTTTATACTTAATATGTCTCCCTAAGCTATCAAGTCTTCAAAACCCCCTGTTAATTTTCATTTTTGTTTCCCATGGATTCTAAAATTACCTTCTTCCTTCTACTTTTCTCCACTTACCCCTACTTCCAGCTCCAAATAAAAATAATTTAAAGCAAATGGATCCAATAATAGTGTGGCTCTCATTAAATGATAGTCTCCTGAGCCTCTATGATTATGTGAATTATACTTTGACGGAATCATGGGGTTATACAGTGACTTTGTAGTTCTTTCATCTTTTTTCTCTTTCTGGATCAGGTAATTAGGCTAGACTGTTTCTCAAATCAAGTTTCCTTAAAAGTGAACAAATTTTTCTTTTCTGCTTTATAGATTTCTTGATAACCGGCTGTTTGCTACCTGCTCTGATGACACTACAATAGCACTATGGGATCTGAGAAAATTGAACACCAAAGTATGCACTTTACATGGTCATACTAGCTGGGTGAAGAACATCGAATATGATACTAATACAAGACTCTTAGTAACATCAGGATTTGATGGAAATGTCATTATTTGGGACACTAACAGGTTTGTGAATAGACTGTTAGGATTACAAATAAAATCTTTTTAATATAGCTAATAGCTGGCTTTAGGAAATCAAAGGGATTCCATGTTGTAATAAGACTAAGTGCAAGTAACAACTGGAAAAACAGTTACTGATGAAAACTGTATTATAAAATGAATTTCCTTTGTGAAACTGTTTCTGGTCCTTCAATTCTAAAGCTAAGAGTTTTGAAATTTACACTTTTCTTTTCATGCTTTAAAAGAGTAGTTATCATTTGGAGTGGTATGGATCCTAAAGGTAATGTTTGAAAATAACGTGTGGGGCAAGTTCAGTTGTCACTACTGGGGAAGAGAGGACCTCTCCTGGATTTTAGTGGGCAGGAACCACAGTTTCCAAACACCCTACAGCATATGGGAATTTGCACAGTGGGCCAGTTGTCCTACCTAAAATGCCACTTATGCCTGTTATGAAACATTAAGAAAATGTTTCCTTATAGAGAAATTAAGGAATAGTTTGAGAAATAAAATATTGCTGTTGCTAGCTTTGGTGAAATAATATAGTAACACATCAGGATTGTTTGTGAAGTATTTTTCCCCAGCAATTAAAAAAATCCACTTTTTACATAGAAAGAGTTAGAGGCCGAGAAAGAGATCTTCCATCCGCTGGTTCACTCCCCAGTTGACCGCAATGACCAAAGCCAGGAGCTTCTTCCAGGTCTCTCACACAGGTGCAATCTTCCCCTGTTTTCCCAGGCCATAGCAGAGAGCTGGATCAGAGGTGGAGCAGCCAGAACTTCAACCGGTGCCCATATGGGATACCTGCACTGCAGGCAGCGGCTATACCTGTGACACCACAGTGCTGGCCCCTTAAAGTGGATATTCTTAAAAGCTCTCTAGATACACGAGCATTATTTGCGTAGACGATAGAGCTATTGATTATCTTTTTAAAATTTATTCATATATTTGAAAGGCAGAGTTTACAGAGAGATCTTCCATCTGCTGGTTTACTCAAATAGCTGCAACGGCTAGAGCTGGGCCAGTCCAAAGCCGGGAGCTGGATTGGAAGTGGAGCATCCAGGACTCGAACCAGTGCCCATGTGGGATACCAGCGTCACAGGCAGCGACCTTATCCGCTATGCCACAATGTTGCCCCCTCCCTCCCTTTAAAAAAATATTTATTTGAAGGCAGAGTTACAAGCGGAGAGGACCTCCATCCACTGGTTCACTCCCCAGATGGCCGCAATAGCTGGAGCTGTGCCAATCCAAAGCCAGGAGCTGTTTCTGAGTCTCCTACGTGGGTGCAGGGGCCCGAGAACCTGGGCCATCTTCTTTCCCAGGCCATAGCAGAGCACTGGATCAGAAGTGGAGCAGCCGGCACCCATACAAGATGCCAGCACTGCAGGCGGCAGCTTTACCTGGTACACCACAGCGCTGGCCCCGCCTTTATTTTCTTTTAAAGGTTTATGTGTCTATTTGAAAGGCAGAGCGACAGATAGAGAAGAAAAGAGATCTTGCATCCACTGGTTCAATCCCTAAATGCCTGCAAGAACCAGGGGTAGGCCAGGCCAAAGCTAAGATTCAAGAACTTGATCCATGGCCGACGCCATGGCTCAATAGGCTAATCCTCCACCTGCAGCGCTGGCACACAGGGTTCTAGACCCGGGTCGGGTCGCCGGAATCTGTCCTGGTTGCTCCTCCTCCAGGCCAGCTCTCTGCTGTGGCCTGGGAGCGCAGTGGAGGATGGCCCAAGTGCTTGGGCCCTGCACCCGCATGGGAGTCCAGGAGAAGCACCTGGCTCCTGACTTCGGATCGGTGCGGCGGCCATTGGAGGGTGAACCAATGGCAAATGGAAGACCTTTCTCTCTGTCTCTCTCTCTGACTGTCCACTCTGCCTGTCAAAAAAACAAAAACTCAATCCAGGCTGATCACGTGGGTGGCAAGAACCCAAGACTTAGGCCATCATGCACTGCTTCCCAAGCTTATTAGCAGAAGTTGAATTGGAAGCACACAGCAGCTGGGACTTGAAACAAACCCTCTGGTAGGGGATACGGGCACTCTGAGCTGCAGGTTAAACCAGTGCACCACAATGCCGACCCCTAATGATTATCTTTAAAGAAAGATAAACATACCTGTTAAAATTTTAGAAGTATTTGTTTTTGAGATTTTAGTAGGAAAATTAGGAAATTTAGTAGGAAAATTTAATAGAAGTATAAAAATTTATTAAAACGTCTAATAGAAGCAGAAAAAAATCACTTGAAAAACAAGTAAATTAGGAATTACAAGAATATGGTGGCTTATAACCTAAATATCAATAATCATGATAAGTATGTATGAACTAACCAGTTCATAGATAGGGTTAAGTTGGATTAAAAACGCAACTAAAGGAGCTGGTGTTATGGCATAGCAGGTAAAGCCGGTGCCTGCCATACTGGCTTCCCATGTGGACACCAGTTCAAGTCCTAACTGTTCTACCTCTGCTCTGCCAGGGAAAACAGAAGATAGCCTGGGGCTTGGGCCCCTGAGCCCACGTGGGAGACCAGGGACCCAGAGGAAACTGAACTCCTGGCTTTGGCCTGGCCTAGTCCTGCTGTTATGGCTATTTATTTAGGGAGTGAACCAGCAATTGGAAGACCTCTGTGTCTCTCCTAACTCTGCTTTTCAAATATAAAAAGTATTACACATATATTCTGCGTAAGGGCTACAACTAAACATGTAAACCCAGGAAAGTTAAAAGTAAAAAATATACCAAAGAAAAACAATTACAGATCCATAATAGCAGACAAATGAAAAGGTGCTATATTAAAAGGTTCATTTCACAATATAAAGGAATTCTTACCTTTTATGCACTTAAAAACTTTTTTTTTTTTTTGCTTTTTATTTTAGGCTAAGAAAAAATATATTCATCTTGCAAAATATTAGATAAAAAGAGTAAGGTTTATTGAGACTTAACAATCCAGCTCCCAACAGATACTGAATACATCCACTGAAGCAAAGTATAAAAATAGCTCATGTGGGCCGGCGCCACGGCTCACTAGGCTAATCCTCCGCCTGCGGCGCCGGCACACCGGGTTCTAGTCCCAGTCGGGGCGCCGGATTCTGTCCCAGTTGCTCCTCTTCCAGGCCAGCTCTCTGCTGTGGCCCGGGAGTGCAGTGGAGGATGGCCCAAGTCCTTGGAACCTGCACCCCATGGGAGACCAGGATAAGTACCTGGCTCCTACCATCGGATCAGCACAGCGCGCCGGCCACGGCAGCCATTGGAGGGTGAACCAACGGCAAAAGGAAGACCTTTCTCTCTCTCTCTCTCTCACTGTCTACTCTGCCTGTCAAAAAAAAAAAATTGCTCATGTATAGGACTATAAAATAGGTCTCAGTTGGTATCTGAAAACTATAATCACAAACCATTTCCCTGAACTCAGTGTAATTTAGTTAACACAGGTAATTAGAAATTCCCATGCTTAAAGACTTAGGAACTCACTCCCTAAGTAAAAGATCAAAGAACTCATAGTGAAATCAGAAAATACTGAAAATTTATGAACTATCTAAGAGTAAACCTGATGAAAGTGGATATATTGAAGTAATAAAGATAAAAGCACAACAAAGAAATTGACTATACAATAAATATTTAGCCATTGTATACCAGTTCAGCTGGAGTTGTTAAAAGTTGAACTTCTAGGGGCCAGCGCCATGGTGCAGTAGGTTAATCCTCCGCCTGGACGCTGGCATCCCATATGGGCACCGGTTCTAGTCCCACCTGCTCCTCTTCCAGTCCAGCTCTCTGCTATGGCCTGGGAAAGCAGTAGAAGATGGCCTAAGTCCTTGGACCTCTAAACCTGCATTGGAGACCAGGAAGAAGCTCCTGGCTCCTGGCTTCAGATCGGCACAGCTCCAGCCATTGCGGCCATCTGGGGAGTGAACCAACAGAAAGAAGACCTTTCGGTCTCCCTCTCATGTCTGTAACTCTACCTCTCAAATAAAATCTTTAAAAAAAAGTTGAACTTCTACGTTGGCAAACACCCACTGCCCTGAGTTATCCCCTGGCACCTCCTGACTTTCCAAGGCCCCTCCTTCTAGGTGATACTACCTTCAAAGTTTTCCCATGATACAGTAGGTAACATCCACCCTTCAGCAGGGACATTCCAAGATCCTGACTGGCTAGTATGCATGCAGTACTGGTTATTTAAGTAATCTGAACATTGCTTCTGCAATAGCCATTAAAGAAATGGAAAAAATCAATTAAACCCTCTCTGCTAATAAAAGGGCAGCCCCACTAGTTTTTTAGGTGACTTCTACCAAATATTGTAACAGAACACTTAATTTTATTAATTAAACTGGTTAGATATGAAAAGAGAATTCTCCTTCCTTCATGTATGAAGCTAGTTTGACCTGGATACCAAAACTTAATAAAGGTTAGAAGATGGAAAAAATGAAAAGCCAATCTGTAATATGAATCTAGGTATATTCTAAATAAAAGTTGAATTCTGCAAGATATTAAAATATCATGATCAAATTGAGTTTATTGAGGAAAAGATGGCTTATCAAAAGTTCTATTAGTATAATTTACTACTGTAACAGATAAAATGAGTAAATCCATATGATTGTTTCAGTTGAAGAATAAAATTCGACAGTCATAGTTAGAAAGCAAAGAGGGGACATCATTACCAACCTTACAGAAATTAACTATAAGGAATAGTATAATCAAGGTTATAGCAACAAATTAGACAACTTAGATAAATATCTAGGAAGTCACAAATTACTGAAACTGACTCAAGAATAGATTGTAGATCTGAAGACCTGTAGCAAATAAAGAAATTGAACGGATAAATTAAAAATCTTACCATAATGAAAATCTCAGGTGCTAATGGCTTCACTGATGAATTCTATCAAACATTTACATAATAAATACTATCAATCTTTTGCAAAGTCTTCTAGAGATTAGAATAATTCAACTGTGAGTCTAGTATTTCTCTAAATGGTGGATAAACATTGTGAGAATAGAAAACTACAAAAAATTGATATAAAATCTT